ACGAAACTAAAAGAAGAAATACATAATAAATCTGCAGGCAATCTGTCATATTCATGGGTTTTTTTTAACCCTGCCACAGCAAGTTTTTCAACACTTTCTAAATTTGCACAAGCTCCCAAAGTGTCTGCCTCACCTTTGTTGACCACACTGCATCACTCGGAATCAACCCTTTCTCCTCGTCACCATCAGTTTTGCTTCCTGATCTGCCACTTGAAGTACCAGGTACATCCTTTGAATGAGCAAAAGGGTCTACATTTTTTTGCTGAATTCTTCCTCCTCTGGCCCGATAATCAGCCAGCATTCTACCCAAGCTCTGGCTATCCCCAAGATGCTCAGCAATTCTAGTGCTCACTAGCTCGTGCGAGGGCAAGACTTGAATAGCCTTGGCCTGAACACTTCCGTTCATGCCTTGAAGACCAGAGAGATCCCTAAGCAGCTGCTTCTTCCGCCTGCTTTCCACTTCTTTGAACTCTTTATTGAGGAGAGGAGACCAGTAAACCTGCTCTGCAAAATAATCTCGGGTAGAGCATCTCATCCCTTTTTCAGTTAAAAGGAAGGGCTCCCGGAATGTGATTACTGGGGAGATACAGAGGATCACGTCTTTCAATTCCTGTTTAAAGGCCAAAGAATAAGTCTTTCGTTTATCTTCAGAAGAGGTAACCTCCTCAGTAACATACAATCCAGTGTCATCCTGCAAAGGGTCTCTAAAGGCTCTCATCTGGCTTTTGGGATCCTGTAGCTCATCTGGGTGCTGCAAAGCCTCCGGCTGCTCCAAGCCCACAGCATCCTGCTGGTCGTCCACATGCAGAGGCAACAACGATTCTGGGACCGATGGAAAGAGAGCACAGGGGATCCCTGTGGGGCAAGCCGTTGTGGCATACTCTTGATGCTTCAAACAGGCAACATCCTGTGGAATGCTTCTATTCTCCTGGTCACCCTTCTCAAACACAATCCTTGATTCTAGCAAACTGCTATCATCGGAGGGCAGAAATTCTGAAGGAAAGTCAGGCTCCCGGGGGAGGGGACTTCCGCTGAATGGCTCTTGTGTGGTCCCTTCATCCTCCCGCCCCTCAATCAGAGAATGGAAGGAAGGGTTTTGTGTTAACGTAGGAGGCATAGCAAATTCATCCATGAGGAAGGAGATTTCTAGTTGAGAATGATAAGCTACACAGATCATAAATATTAGGATCTCTTTAACTCGAGCCAGCTCATAATCAGAGCCTCCTCTAAGCTTGATTGTGCAGCCCAGGTGCTGTGGACAGCCTTCAAAAAACATCAGTGTTTTGGTTTGCTCTACAAATAAACATATAAAAAGTTTAAGAAGACATAGTTGGCATTCCACAAGCCCAGACAGAATTATTTCATTATCTTGACCTCTACAAAAGAAAAACTTTCAAGTAAGACCAAAGTTACCAATCTTCATTTAACAACCACTGCTAATAGATATTAGTATTATAACTAAACACTATTAATGGATTATTAGAAATTAGGACAAAGTAAACACTGTAGTACTGATGAGTTTACTCATTTCTTCAATTCTCCAATCTCAGGTCAATCTATCTAACGATCACTCACCATTAGGCAACTGAAAGATCTGCATATAAAATTTATGACAGGTGCCCAGGTGGGGTTTTGTAAGCAGCTGGTCCATCGACATTACTAAATCACCTTGGGTCATCCGACTGATTCGTTCTAAAACTTGCTAGAACACAGAAAAACGTTTTATTACAAAATTAGAGAATAAAATTCTTAGTAAATTTTATCTGGAAAATAGGAAAAATTTAGACATAAACTTCACAATTAATTTTCTTAATTTTAATTATATAATAATTTTTGATTCTAGATTACACTATAAGTAGTTGCTCAGTGATCAATATGTTCCCACGAAAACAAACCAGACTCGTATTAATAACATTATTAAAAGACATGTGAGCATTGTGCATTGGCACAGGACTGGGGGAAACAGGAAATTTCCTAGAAGTGGCCTCTATTCTGAAGAGGGTAGCTTTTCAGGAGAGAGAGCATCTTCTACTTGTACAATTCCCCAAACAAAACAAAGGCTCAACAAATACTACTCATTACCAATTATCTATTACATCTTTGGTGTTACAACCATAATGAGTGCTATATAATTTATTACCCTTTCCTCCAGTCTGAGATTCTCTAGTCTTAAATAAAGAAACGACTGTTGTGCTTACTGTCCTACTTTCAATATATATGGAAGACCAAACAGATAATCAAAGATCCCTGCATATCAATATGATGCATATAAATTTAAAAACAGAGATTTTTTTTTAAATGATAGAAAAATAGGAACACTCACTGATTTTACATTAATGACCAAAGTAATGCCATGTTCTAGTAACATGTCTTGGGCAATCCGAGACACTGTTTTTTCAACTAGAACCAATGTAGGTCGAACATCAACTATTCGCTGAACATAATTCTTCAAGAATTCCCTTTCCTAAGGAAAAAAAAACATCAAAAATATTATACCTGCTTCAATTCAAGATCTACAAATATTAAAACATCAGGAGGGTTTGACTAAGTCTCTTCATCTCCAAATAAGTCTATAAGCAAGTCAGTTCAAACACAACCAAGAATATTATTCATAAATCTGAACTGTTGGTTATGCTAATAAAAAAGGGTTTTAGGAGAAATTCCATTTTCTGACTCACTAATTGTACTTTGAAGGATTTTCAATTCTTAATAACTAATAATGTGAAAGCCAAGAATCCAATTAGTTTGCTCTTAGAGATTAAAAGAAAACAAACAAACCTAACCTCAGTGAGCCTAACTCCCCCATGAAAGCAATTTCTCATTCTTTAAATATAGAATCCCCCTACTACATTCTGAAATTAACTAGAGTAGCTCTTCTTTGGTATTGGAATAAATAACTCTCTAACAGATGCTATTTCAGCTTCTTCCTCATTTCAATCTCCCAGAAGATCATCTTCTACTTAGAACAGCTATAAAGACCTAAAACATACCACTTAATACAATTTCTTGACGAAGGCTTATTTTCAAAGCAAATGAATACTACCAACAATGACCAGAGTTAAAACAATACAAATCACTGACTGTTTCATAAAATATATGGGCTCCAGAAAGGAGACACTTGAATGTGTGTGCATGTCTGTCACTTCTGCTCCACACGCCCGAAGTGTCTTTTGAGCAAGTCTGTATTCATGGTCAGTGCCGCCAGCAATGGATGAGCCTACTCCCTGCAATGAACCCACCACTATGAAGTACATTTCTACCGTCTTCTGTTTACTTCTGTTTACTGTATGTTTTCAACATCTCCAATTATTAACGAAATGGATTTTTTCCCTTGAAACGTGTTAATTTCCTACTCTACTTACCAAATGGTCATTTAATGGCATTTTCAATGATTTTATCTGTGCAGCTTCAAAAGTGCAACTATAATAAGTTGATTTTTTTTTTTTTTTTAATTTCTGGCCTTTGGCACAGGGATGGCAAATACACTTCCTCTCAGTCCCAACTATAATCAGCTATCGTGACTGCACATGAAGCACCATGTTCAAAGGAGGCCTGGGCCAGGCCCAGCAAGGACAGAATATCAGGAAGTGGGCCATGAGCATGAAATGGAGCAGAGGCACACCAACAGACCTAGTAGTGATGAGGGAAACAAAGGCAAAAGAACTGTAACTTAAATTTCCTAACAGCTTACAGCACACTGATACCTGAACATGCAGAGTGTGACCTTCTTCAAGGAACTCAGGGCTGCCTTAGTGCCTCAATGTTTATGGTTTACTAAAGACTAAATGTAACCTTATCTTAACAGCAACTAGCCCGTCAAGGTCCAGAAAGTCTTGCTTCCAAATTCCTTAGAGACTTGTGCTAACCCTAACCCTCACTAATTAAAAAGTATATAATCAGTCACTCCTCACAATCCCAGGGCAGCTCTTTCTGCTCAGTTACATTTCTTTTGCCTCTGTTTCCCTCTTTCTCCCCACGCTGTAAGAAAATCACCTCTTTACACCGAAAACGTCTCAAGAATTCTTTCTTAGCCGTTTGTTCTCAAACCTAAAACTTCCAAATATCATAATTTCACCAGTAGTGCCAGCTTTGTGAAGACACTGTAAAGCCCCAGGGTAATTACCTGCTTGGCCTCTGTCACTCATCCTCTTTCTAATTACAGGCATACCTTGTTTATTATAGTTTGCTTCACTGTGCTTCGCAGGTACTGCACTTTTTACAAATTGAAGGTCTGTGGCGACCCTGTGTCAAACAAGTCTATTGGCACCATTTTTCCAACAGCATTCGCTCATTTCATATCTGTGTCACATTTTGGAAATTCTCACAGCATTTTACACTTTTTCATTCTTACTATATCTGTTATGGTACTCTGTAATCAGTGATTTTGAACAACTCACTGAAAGCTCAGATGATGGTCAGCATTTTTTAGCAGTAAAGTGTTTTTAATTCATGTATACCTTTTTTTTTTTTTTTTAGATATAATGCCATTAGCACACTTAAAAGACTACAGTACAGTGTAAACATAACTTTTATATGCACTGAGAGACCAAACAAGTCACCTAAGTTGTTTTATCGCTATACTGGCTTTACTGCAGTGGCCTGGAACCGAACTTGCAGTATCTCTGAGGTACACCTGTATGAACCAAAATTTCAGCTTCTTCTTTGCTTATTCCACATTGATTGGACCAAACAAAAAAGGAGGAAAAAAAATAAGCTGATGCTTTATATTAATTCAAACTAAAAACTTCTATAGGGCAGGTATTAGAGGTATAAGAAACTATGTTTCAAAGCACAACCAAGATGCTTTAGGTTATGTGAATTAAATCATGTCTCTTAGATACATGTTTGCCCAGAGCAAACTTCTCTAACACAAAAAGACCTTAGTATGTTAACCTACTTGCAAGAATGGAGTTAAAATGGAGTGAACAAATTTAAGTATAAATGTTCTGTAAATAATTACCTGTGGATTTCAGCTACCCAATTCATCAATTACAAGACCTATAATTTTATACATTTTAACAAATGCAATCAGGATAAGCCTTACAATCAATGCAGTTGTGATCTGATCCTATAAAAGTTTTCCACGGACCGCTTCATTGAGATCAAGAAAATTCCCAGCATTAAAGAATCTGAGATTCCACAAACAGTAATTGTGTTTCCCCTAATTCCTTATTTCAGGTCACCACTGAGAAGGCACAGTACATCAGAGCTAGTAGAGAGGGTATGATATAGGCAGAACCCCTGATTTGCCCTTATTTCTAACTGAATTCTAAAGAGGAAAGAGCCCCAAGTAACAGAGTTCATTAAGCAATAGAGCAGAGTTCCATAAACCACAACGAAGTTTCTTCTGTTGGTGTCTATGAATTCAGTACAAAAGTGACTGCTCCTACCACTCTCAGAAAAATGTGCCTATCACCCACGAATTTTCAAGTTTCTCTAAATGTTTCTGGAACTGAATGTGTTTCTACTATAATATTACAGACACATTCCTGAAAACCTCCCATTTTGAACAACTGCTGATTAAAATTAATAGTATTTATGGTAGAAAAGAAGTCGGGGCAAAAAACTTTTTAGACCAATATAACTTCATATCCAGTGCGCTAACAAAAATAATCAGTACTTTGAGAGAGAATGTGGACAGCCCCAATGGGTAGCTCAGCACAGCTGGAGGCTGCCTCATGCCTCAAGGGAAATTTTAAGTGTACAAAAGCAACTGCAACAGTACAACCACAAAAGGAGCTCTGAGCAGTGGAGCCATTAAGAAACACCCAGGGCTAGGGGTGCTTCCCTCCAGGGAGAGAGTCCTTCCAACAGCAGAGCACTTTGAATTTCTTAAAAAGAGCCAAAAGGGTTCCTGCCTTGGTAGCAGCCAAGCTGAGGCGGATTCTTCTTTCCAGTTGAGGGTTATGACGGTTATGATCCTACTGCAGCCATGCTGGGTCCCCTTAGCTAAGAAAAATCACATAGAAACCAACACAACTTCCATCTGATGCTGCTCCCCTTTACCAGCTGTGTACAAGGTAACTGGTGTTCCAGAAACAAGCGTTTTAGTAGAACAGACTATATGAAAAGCCAGGTATTGCCACTGGGAATCTGGTAAGTTAGAAAAATACTTGAAGTAAATCAACAACCCAGGTGCGCACAGAGGCCAGAATTCATATTTTCACTTTTTCTTCCGTATATTCCCAAAAAGTTCTAGGTTCCCCTTAACACTTTGAAACTCTAAAAATAAGGAATGACAGGGGTGCCACAGTGTCTCAGTTGGTTAAGCATCTAACTCTTGATTTCGGCGCAGGTCATGATCTCATGCTCACATGTGAGCATGTGAGATCATGCCCAGTGATTAAGATTCTCTCTCTCTCCTCTCTCTCTCTTTCTCTCTCTGCCCCATCCCCCGCTTGCAAGTACATGCACTCTCTCAAAATAAATAAACATTTAAAAAATAATAAATATAAATAAAAATGAGGAGTGACAGGGGCGCCTGGGTGGCGCAGTCGGTTAAGCGTCCGACTTCAGCCAGGTCACGATCTCGCGCTCCGTGAGTTCGAGCCCCGCGTCAGGCTCTGGGCTGATGGCTCAGAGCCTGGAGCCTCTTTCCGATTCTGTGTCTCCCTCTCTCTCTGCCCCTCCCCCGTTCATGCTCTGTCTCTCTCTGTCCCAAAAATAAATAAAAACGTTGAAAAAAAAAAAATTTAAAAAAAAAAAAAAAAAAATGAGGAGTGACAGAGGTTTTGGTAAGCTTCCAAAGTAATACATAAAAATGTCTTTTATAATTATTTAATAAATTAAAAAAAATTTTTTTAAGTTTATTTATTTATTGGGCGGGAGGGGAGGGAGCATAGGCGGGGGAGGAGCAGAGAGAGAGAATCGCAAGCAGGCTCCGCGCTGTCAGTGCAGAGCCATACAAGAGGTTTGATCCCATTACCATGAGATCATGACCTGAGCTGGAATCAAGAGTCAGATGGTTAACCAGCTGAGCCACCCAGGCGCCCCTATAAAAAATGTTTTTAATGAAACAAATGCAATCGAGTTTCTTTGCCCCTCCAATTTAAGCAGCTGGAAAGAGTTCTAAGTGTTTGCAGGCACTACAGTACACAAACATCCCTCCAGATCACTGTTCAGTAAGAAGTTCTTACCTGAAGCACAATAGGATCAATGCAGGTAAATTTAGTTTCTTCTCTGTAGAGATACTCGATGGAACATTTCAACAGAAGAATTTTGGGATTTTTAATACAAGAATTCATCTACAAAAGATGAAGTTTGTTAAAAGACTTTAAAGTCTATTATGTTACAGACCTCCTTTAATCACTAAACTCACACTGTTTATAATTCCTCCTAAATAGATTATTTCCTTATATTTGTAATGAAATACTCTCATTTAGTTCTTTTGTGGTATTCTCTTATATATTTTTTCAAAACAAATAATGAGCTCAGAGCAATGCAGACTTCTAAAAACTTGGCTCTATACTCTCTTAAAAGGTTTTTGTTTTTTTAATATTGCAAGAAAAGATATCAAGCCCTGGGTATGGAGAAGAGGAGCTTAAAGACAGGATACTTTATAAACTCATAGAAATCAGCAACTTTGAAAGCCTAACTTAACCTTTCTAAAATTCAAGGACAGAGGAGGGAGAAAAGAATGAAAATGCCCCCTGAATAGATTCCAAGAAAGTATAAACTGGCAAGCCAAAGTGGGTAAAAAGTTTAAAAAGGAAAACCTTAAAGCATATCCAGGAGCACAGATTCCAACAATACACCCTATCCATGTAACTAAAACCACAGGCAGAAGAGCCTGGGTCCCGCAATGGAGGTTTCAGACTGACCGTGCTTGTAGACTCCAAACTGGCAAATGATCTTGAAACAGTGACTCATCAGTTGGGGAACTACATTTAGGGATTTTTTACCAACTACAAATTAAAGACTACCTCTAAATATGGTCAGTGGAGCAAGACAGTCATTCATGCCTATGTTTCTACCACACCCACATATAACTTTCAATTCTGGAGATAATCTCAACATACTTACCTTTTAATTCAACACAGATCATTTCATTTGGCTTAAATTACTACTTTGATGGGTAATGTGCCTGGTTTAATAAGATTCTATGTAGAAATACTGACAATAGTTCAAATCCAAGCGTACTTTTATTTATCTATGGTCACTAATAATTTTCAGGAGCCTAATGCCTTTACCAAAAATGAATTAGTCTCTGCTTAGAAAAGAGTGAAGATAGGACTGCAGTTCACCCACCTAGTCGTTCAGGCTAGAAATCTGCCTAAGCTCTCATAGTAACCAAATCAGTATTCCCAGAGGTGGGGGGTCAGGTTATCTCTATTTGCAGTAAGCTCCCATAGTGATTCAGAAGCACAGCAAGTTTGAGAGCACTGCTAGACTGATGGCTTCTCAAAATGTGAGGAGCAACAAATGACACTGCAAACATCTGGAACACCTACTTTAAAAGCAACCCCACCTCCCCACCCCACCAACTCCCTTATACTGAATGAGAATTTCTAGGGGTTGGGCTTAGGACTCTACATATTTAACTATGTCCACAGGTGACCCTAATGTACTATGCACTTTGAGAATCAGTGGCCTTCAGAATAAAGTTCAAGGCCCCTACTGGGATACAAAGCCCTTGCCTGCTTCCTCCAACGTCATCTCCTTTCTCATCTTGCACCTTAGGATCTCAGAGATTCTTTAGCACACCAGGTTATTTCACCCCATTTCTTTGTGTTAGTGCTAGAAAGAGGCCTCAGGCCTGAAGGCAGAGATAGAAGGTAAGAAAGATAACAGAATATCAGTGATAATTCTGCAGCTCAGCCCTAAAACAGCAAAGTTTTAAAATTCTAGGCCTCTGGAAGGACTCCAGGCTATTAGAGAAACCTTGTCTCCCTAAGATGTGGCAGGGTCAAGGGAGAAATGATACTAGCATCCTATCATTCTGTTGGTCTGGAAGCCTGACCCACCCTCCCCCTACCTTCTTTTGTCCGATGAGTTCCTATTACCCAAATCCTAATCATCATCAGCTCTGGGAGACCTTTCCTGAACCTCCAAGATTTCACCCCTATAGCAGACACTGCTAAACTACTCCTTGATATCCATTCTCCTTCTCTTCTATGATTAGAAGTTAGTACCCCAACTTGTTGGCTTGGTACACAATCATAGTTTGCTGACCTTCACTGTCGGAAAAGATCACATTACCTTTTTATGTGCAATATTTTTGGTACAAACAAATCCATTGACAACCACAGAATCAAACTTCTTTCCACCTGGAATCTAATGAAATAAAACAAAACTCAGTAATATATCCTTAGAATCCAGTCGTTTGGATGTTATTATTTAGTTCCATTTTTAATTTTAACTATTATGTAATCAAATCAGAACAGAAGTTCCAGAATATAGCTCTTCCTTTCAACCAATAATTAATGGCATCTAGCACGATTGTCTATTTACCCATTTCCCACTCTCTACAGTATTAGCTGGTGCTCTAAAATACTAATCTGACCGAACAAATTGGCAAGTAAAACCATTACTAAGTCAAACGTCATAGGCAAAAAATATATACAGGACTCCACTACCAGCTAAATAAAGTAATTACACACTGCTTTTCCTCAGAACAGTGACAGTAATCTGTGGGAAGAGGTCTTCTCATAGGCGACACATCAAGCAAAAGGAAGCAAGAAAGGAAGAAACCGTATTGGCTTGGTTTCCCAATTCACTCCATGCCCAACTCACCCCTTCCATTCACCTCTCACTTCCTATGAGTGGCTTCCATGACCACTGAGTTCATTGTTAACAAACATATCAGGCAGAAAAACCTTCCCCTCCTCACCGAGAACCCCCTTTAGATGACCATTAAGAGCCAAATTACTGCCAGGCCCACCGATCAGCACCTAGCATTAGAAAAGCATTAGCGGAACTCACTTTTTTAATATGGACAAACTGACGGATGTCCATGTCATCATCCCGGTTCTTGACATCAGGTCGGACTGTCTGAACAACCTGGCAGACCAGTGATACAATGATGTCCCTCCAAGATGGTGACAATGACTCATTATGGAGCAACTGTTGGAGTAGTGCCATCATGTGGTTATGATTAGCTGAGCTACAAAAATGTCACAAGAAAGAAGTTTGCAGAGTTAATACCGCCAGAGACAAGAATTCTGAAAATCAACAGGCACTCTACAAAGAAATAAGCATGTGAATTAGGGCTTGAAGATCTGTTTGAGTCAATCTTATTTTATCTGCGCCTTAATGATCTTGCACAGGAATGAAATCTGTGAGTATATTCAATTAAGAAATCTGTGAGTATATTCAATTAAGATAACCCCTTTAATTCAATGAAATTTTACCCCGCAAATTACAGTGGGCACAGACAATCACAGTTGAGGACTCTTACAAGAAAGTTCATCAGAATAGGCTTTATTTCCTAAGTAATCTTAGTATTTTTGATTTCATGAGGAAGAAAAGCTACTATGCATATGCCCACCAAGTCACCGAACATTATAAAAATGGAAAATTAAAATCAAAAAGCTCACTGCCTTACAGCAACCTCTCCATGGCTTGTTTCTCTCCATTCTCCTCCCTCAGCAGCTCCAGGTTGTTATGATGCCAACCCAAAGGTGTGAAAGGCAGCTCTTTGGATTTTTCCTCAACTCGACGATTAAATAAGGATTCTAAGTATAAAATAAGAAATTGTATTTCGCTGTTGCATTTTATACCATATACTTACAGGTTTAGAAAGTGCCAAGTTATCCTTTAAAATTTTTTAAAGTCTGTCAGTTCAAACTATTGGTATAAAAAGGCAAGGATGTGTCAGTACACAAATAAAAAAATTAAGTCTGACTTAGATCATCAACTCATAACAGCCAAAATCAGAGACAGAACACCAGAAAGCAAATTTACGTAAGTGACTAGGACTCTTAAGCCAACAATTTTAAATATGGCTTCTGAGAAACAAATGAGATTTTTTTATAGTCCTTTTATTCAGCTGGGGACATTAAAAAAGGAGGCCAGCTTTCCTTATAATAACGCAAACTAAAAACTACATTCAGCACAACTCTGAATGCTGGCAGAACAACATGTGATAGTGTGGGTGCTGAACTTGAAAGAGAAAAGCTCAGCTCTGATACGTCTGAACCAGCATGTGACAGTGTAGAAAGTTTATCCAGACAATTCTTAATAGTGTTTCTTTCTCAATATAAAAAACAAAGGCCTTTTTTAAGCCAAATTTTTATAAGTCAAACCCAAAAATGAACTACAAAGAAACATTAAAACATGGTAACAATCTATGTAAAATTTTGTAAAATCTTTAAATTTTTAAAAAGAATGAAAGTGGATCTAAACAATAAATAGGTAACATTAAAAGTTTTGCAAAAAAAAAAAAATGCTCACTATATAACTACTGAAAAATGTGACTGAATAAATGGAGAGGTGGGAAACGTTTACAAAAATTCTCTCATCCTTCCCCCCTCTTAAAGCCAACCAACCAAACAAAACAGCTTCCAACATAACGATCCAGCACTATGAAGTAAAGAACATGTCCACATGCAAGGAACAAAAACTGTACATTTTAATTATGTAAACAGCGGGCCTATCAACTTCTGGTTGAACCAGGTGTTCAGAGGTGAATATAGAAACCCTGCTAAATTTTGAGATCAGCTGCGAATGGCCCCCCATGCACCAGCCTGCCCCACCTTTTCTCTTTTATTTGAAGCCCTCCCACTGTCTAAGGTCTAGGCTGTGGAGGGTTATGAACTAATTAAGCATGTCAGTACTCCACAGTAAGCTAAGTAGGGAAGGTGTAAGAGAAGACTACTCTTCCATACTGCCTTCCGTCCCCAAGATATGGACCAGCAGAATCAGTTCTTTATCTCCTCTGCCCACTTCTCTTCCCAGTTCCACAGGGCAAGCAGCGTCCTCAATTGGATGAGATCTCCTTGGAGGCTTTCTGACAGGTTTGAGAATCCTTGATGATATGTATGTCAATACTTAATATTATATTCATGATTTGGAAAGCATAAGCTATGTATGCCTTTAAAAGAATAAAATGCAGGGGCGCCTGGGTGGCTCAGTCGGTTGAGCGTCCGACTTCGGCCCAGGTCACGATCTCGCGGTTCAGGAGTTCGAGCCCCGCATCGGGCTCTGTACTGATGGCTCAGAGCCTGGAGCCCGCTTCGGATTCTGTGTCTCCCTCTCTCTCTGCCCCTCCCCTGTTCATGCTCTGTCCCTCTCTGTCTCAAGATAAATAAAAAAATTAAGAAAAAAAAAAAAATTTTAAAAGAATAAAATGCAAATTCTATTTAAAAGCTTTTAAACAATTACCCTTCAGATCAGATAGCCTGTCTCAAACCAAGTCCAAGTTTATATTCTTCACTCCCAACATTCTCAGAGTCACCATACGTATCAAAAACTGTGTTCCCATTATATTAAAACAATCAAATTTATTTGCGGTACCTACTCTGTGCCAATCAGTGTGCTAGGCCCTAAGCACATCCTCACAAACAAGACACAATATCCCGTGTACAGCTTTTGAGAAAATTACCTTTGATGAAGGCGTCACTTATTGAGAGTTGTTGTCCTCCATTGTCAGATATCAAATACTCTGCATACCAGGGAGAGAGCAGAGAGAGTGGGAAGAAAAGCAGAGACTTATGACTGTAACTTGCCAGCGTAATTATACAGAGAACACACCTACACACGAAGTATTACTCATACTAAACCCAACACTGCCCAGCCAATTCAAGAGAGCGTTAGGCTAAAAAGCATCTTTAGACTTATTCCACACACTTCATACTAAACTTAACAGACTTGAAAGACTTGAATTAACTCAAAAGAACCTTGAAGCAGTAAAGTCAGATAATCTTTTAACAGATTGCTTTTCCCTTATCAAAGCTGAACCAGTTTACAAAAATTGAGATCTTCAGTAATTTAGGCATGAAAAGCCAAAAAAGTTACACTATTTTTCTCATGAACAGCTGTATGATTTCACAGATAATGACTCTGTCTATACACAAAGTAGTTCTTGGGTAGAGAAGCCACCTGAAAAAATATATAAGGTTTTTTTTTTTTTTTTTTTTTAATTTCAGACTACAAGCTATAAAGCAAATTAATACACAAGTGACACTGGCAGGGAATAGAGATAACTCATCAGGATTTCTAGGAGTTTCTGAATTAGAGTTTCAGTTTTTCAAAATTCTAACCAAACACTGCCAAATAGTTGCCAGAAGATAACTGAATACACGCTGTGTGCTTTTAGAACTTTCAGAATATTAAATACTTCTCTTACAAGTGAAACTTATTCTTCACTTCCCCTGTAACTTTTCTAGGTTCTTTCTACTATGCAAACTAAACCACAACGTATTTTAAGTGTTTTAAATAGATTTCACTTATAACAAACAAGCTTCAGAAGTCATTATGTTTATAAGCCAATATGATCATCCTTTGAACAAGAAAGCAGAGAAAAAGTTTTACATAGAAAATTCATGTGTGCCAACTCAAATACAATAAATCAAGTACGTGGACAAATAAAAATAGATGTTATACTTCATTTCTGTACCTCCCACACAGAATGAATAATGCCAACCTGTTTGTTCAACTAATATATTGGCTTTGCAAGCTTTACTTTTCATATACATTTACTTTTATATATATGTACGTATGTAATATATATTTCCTAACCCCCCCCCAGGAGTGATCATTTTCAAACATACAGAATATCCTGTATACCCTTCACCCATATTCAACAACTGTTAACTTACCACATCTGATTTCTTTCTACATATATGTATGTTTTTCCCCAACCATTTGAAATTATACACATCATGACACTTGACCACTAATACTTCAGCGTGCATCTCTTAAAAATAAGAGCATTCTTGGGGGCACCTGGGTGCCTCAGTTGGTTGAGCATCTGACTTTAGCTCAGCTCATGATCTCACAATTCAGGGGTTCACATCGGGCTCTGCACTGACAGCGCAAAGCCTGCTTCAGATTCTGTCTCCCTCTCTCTCTGCCCCTCCCCTGCTCGCTTTCCCTCTCTCTCTCAACAATAAACACTAAAAAAATGTTTAACATAAGGGCATTCTTCTCATAGCCACAATACCATTTATACACTCAAAAAAACTGACAATGTCTTAATATTGTCAAGTTAGTGCACATTTGAATTTATGTTCCTAAAATGCTTTAATAAATTTTTTGCCTCAAACCTGGATCCACTAAGATTCACACATTGCATTCCCTTCATTCTCTTTTAGAACAGAGCAAACTCCCTACCTTTTTACTTAGTCATGATATTAAATTTTGAAAGAACCCAGGCCAAAGGTCCTGTGGAATGTCCCATATTCCGGATCTGATCGGAATGCTTCCTCATGGGGCAGTTTAACTTGCTATGTTCTCCTGTAAATGGGAAGTTAGATCTAGAGGCTTATGGAAGCTATGATTTTCACTTCTCTAGGTTCTACTCACAAACTTGTCAAGACTCGTTCAGAATCCTGCTTCAACACAAAATAAAATGTATTTTAATTGTACTACTCTCCAAATTTTACCACCAGTGAATAATTAATCAAACAAGATCCCACTGTTTCAGTTTTATGAGCTTATGAAAATGAGGGGTTTGCTTACATAAGATAAAAAAACAGCAGATTGTTTTTTAAGTGCAGATATGTCAATCAATTTTAGAAATCCAAATTTCCTTAGCCTCAGAAGATAGAGGATGATTCCTAAGAAAAGAGTTAATAAATATTACCTTTAACTTCAATGGAAAGCTAAAAAACCACCCATTCCCATTTGTATTTTTAGAGGAATGAAAACCGGAGGCAGAGGAGTGTTTTATTCTTTCACTTTACTACCAGTTCACTCTGACGATATTTACTTTCTGGTAATCAGTGTTAATCTTAACCACAATGCAGAAGAAACACAATACTGTATTTCAACTTCACAAGAAAAGCAGACAAAGGATAATTCTTGTTAGTATGCTAAAAACTAACAGGAGAGAACTGTGAAAGCCAGAAACATTTATTAAGTCCATGAACACCTAGAAAGTCCTTAAATTTTAGACTCTCTAGGTTGCAAATGACCTTAATAATTACCTTCTTTCTGATGCTGAATCTCTTCTATTCTGTTCTTACTGAATAGGCTGAAGGATTCCTTACATTCCTTACCATTCTTTTAAAATGTCAAATCTAGATTTCTCTTTTCAGATTCAGAATTAAAAGGAAACTTAGAAGTCACCAAGGTACCTAACCTTTCATCCAATGTAGGCATCGATCCTCAATAACTCTGAAAGGTGGACATTCAACACCACCTGGGCACCCCCAGCGCCCAGCAGCAAGAGCTCACTACTCCTAACTCCTGAACCTAGCTTCTCCTTCAGCCATATACAAAAGAAATATAATTTCTCTCAGACAACATCACACGAACTATTAAGAACAACTTTCGGGGTGCCTGGGTGGCTCAGTCGGTTGAGCATCTGACTTCAGCTCAGGTTATGATCTCACGGTTCGTGAGTTTGAGCCCTGCGTTGGGCTCTGTGCTGACAGCTCAGAGCCTGGAGCCTGCTTCGGATTCTGTGTCTCCCTCTCTCTGTGCCCCTCCCCTGCTCACGCTCTCTCTGGTCTCTCAAAAATAATAAACATTAAAAAAATTTTTTTTTAAAAAAAGGACAACTTTCTCCAGAGTATGAATAGTAGATGTTTTAAGCCTAATTACATTATTTTTTGTTTAAAGGTGTTAAATTTCATCTTATTAGCCTCAGTCGATTGCTTAAGAAAATAAAGATATTTAGATTTCAATTCTGCTATCCAATGTGCTATTTATTCTTTCCATATTTTAAAAATTTGTGAATCTGGAAAACATTAAAAGTGCTGACCAAAAAAAACAAGCTTGTTGAGCAAGAACTGAATACAGATAGACAGCCCTACAGCATAACCTATGAGCATCCCTTTTCTGTTGATATCAGGTTACTCTTTCAATATCTGGCACAACCATTAAAGTACAAATCCATGTGTTATATTAAGAGTGACATCCTTAAGTTCCTACATTTGCCAAACACACTAATCTCTTTATGTGTGTTTTTTGTACAGAGACTCATAGAGACTCGAGTCTGTGCTATTAACAGGTAAACATGACTATTGTCTATAACTACCTCCTTAGTATATAAGTGCAAAACTGTCCTCTTTGTCCACAAAGTTATTGAGACCATTAAATGTCTTATTAACATCAAAGACAACAGGATCCACCACAGTCTCCTGACCTACCAATCTCCTACTACCATAAAAGAAGGAAATAGGGTTGTTTTGAAAAGACTTATTATAGTAAACCAACACTGGTGCCCACTCACCACCACTCCCCTTTCTAAATACAACAGTACATTCTTTTCATTAAATTTTTCTACAATTTTGCCAATTTTTTTTAAATTTTTTTTTAACGTTTATTTATTTTTGAGACAGAGAGAGACAGAGCATGAATGGGGGAGGGTCAGAGAGAGAGGGACACACAGAATCTGAAACAGGCTCCAGGCTCTGAGCTGTCAGCACAGAGCCCGACATGGGGCTCGAACTCACGGACAGTGAGATCATGACCTGAGCCGAAGTCGGACGCTCAACCGACTGAGCCACCCAGGCGCCCCCAATTTTGCCAACTTCTAATGTCAAATCAAGAACCTACTTTTTCAAAAGTTTATTGCCTCTGTCACTACAGTCATCCTTTTCTCCACCCTCTCCTTTTCTCCACAATTCTAAGATAACAAACTCTGGCCCCCATGATCACAGCTCTAAATTCTTTAAATAATCTAGTATATATTTTGACCGAACCTGACAAAAGACTAAAATAACCAGGCATTCTTGGGGCACCTAGGTGGTTCAGTCTGTTAATCATCCAACTCTTTATTTCAGCTCAGGCCATGATCTCGCAGTCTGTGGGACAGAGTCCCATGTCGGACTCCGCGACTACCTCACTCTCTGCCTCTCCCTTGCTTGTGCTTGCTCTCTCTTGCTCTCTCAAAATAAATAAACTTTAAAATTTTTTTTTAAAAACCTGGCATTCCCTATATTCTCATTATCTTGGACTTCACTTTCCTTTTAACCATGTAAGTTCTTTCCTGATAAGATTATCTCAATGGAGGCGAGGGGGGAAGCTTAAATTAATATTACATAAACTTCCTCGTATCACTGGCATTATTTTTTCTTTCTTTACACCACAACTTTAAAAATCTTTTCTGAGGGGCACCTGGGTGGCTCAGTCAGTTGAGCATCCAACTTCAGCTTAGGTCATGATCTCATGGTTTGTGAGTTTGAGCCCCACATCCAGCTCTCTGCTGTCATCGTGGAGCCCACTTTGGATCCTCTGCCCCGCCCCCCGCCCCTCCCCCCATCCCCCCCCAAAATAAAAAATAAACATTAAAAACCAAATCTTTTCTGAGATGCCCTTGGCATTTAGTCCATCCATCAGCGCAATTTAGACTTCTACTATCCCTTTTTTTTTTAAGTGCTAGCCCCCACTTTCAGATTCATCCTCATATAAAGGTTATCTCTCACAACTTTTGCAGACCATCTTTTTAAAGGGTTGAGAGCAGAGAGGTTGCAAAAGATTCATGGTGATTTTTTTCAACTGCAGATGCTTCCCCTTTAAAATTCCTTAGGGATACAATTTGAGGTTGTAAAAATACCGTACAAATTTCATTATCGAAGTTTCTTATTTCATTCCTCTCCCAACATTACAAGGTCAGGCGTCTAAAGCAAATTGTCTAACTGCCCAGCAGTCCACCTTTTGCTATAATGAAATCTATAATGACCGGTCACTTTCTTCATGGTTTTCATAATTTCCTTAACTTTCCAAGATGTGAAATCAACATCAAGTCAAACATGTATTTCACATTCTACTTTCAGCAAAACAAGACTGCATCGCCAACACACTCGTCCAGAGAAGAGCTATCCTCCGTCACAACAGATGCCACCTCTGACCCACGCCTGTCATTTCCAATACAAAAGCATCACCCAGTGTGCTCCAGGGGACCAGACTACCGTTCATGTCACCAGAATGTCCGTGTCTAGTGGACTGTCCTTTCACACTCGCCCAAATGCTCTCCACCGTTTTTATAATTTTTGATGATTCCCATAAAGACCTGTATCTTACTCATGTTCAATGCCAGTCAGGTCTCCTCTTTTACCGCATCCTCTCTAAACTTCTATTTTTGAATAAGACAAACATTTTTATTAATGTAACTTTTTTGTTGTTTCAAGTTTTTATTTAAATTCTAGTTAGTTAACATATAGCGTATATGAGCTTCAGTAGAATTTAGTGATCCGTCACTCACATACAACACAGAACGCTCATCACAACAAGTGTCCTCCTTAATGCCCATCACCATGTAGCCCATCCCCCACCCACCTCCCCCCACCAACCCTCAGTTTGTTCTCTATCGTTAAGAATCTCTTATGGTTTGCTACCCTTCCCCCCCCATTACTGTAACTCTTAAACGCTATTTTACCACTCCTTGAGGATAATATTGGTTATTATGGTTATTATTATAACCATATTGGTCAATATGGTTAATATTGACAACGATGAGGGGCATGTAGGTGGCTCAGTCAGTTAAGCACTCAACTCTTAATATCGGCTTAGGTCATGATCTCACAGTTAGTGAGTTCAAGCCCATGTCAGGCTCTGCACTGACCGCACGGAGCTGCTTATGCTCTCTCTCTAACTAAATAAATAAACTTGAAAAAAAATATTGACAACCATGAGAAATTTGTTGTAGAAATGGGGGTTTGTTTCCAATTATTTTAGCATAGATGTTTAGGTTCAAAAATTTCTCTTTTCTGACCATATTTTTACACTCAAAATAAGAAGTAGCAAGGAATTACACAAGCATTTCCAATCTGAGGCAACAATTCAACTTCAGAGAGCTAAATGTTAAAATCCAAACCTCAGGTGAAATCATAGAACAAATTGTTTCATCTTTATAATAATGATTTTTTAGTTACTACAACATAATGAAACCTCACAATTATTTATTTACTTACGTATTTTTTACTTTTACATTATTTACTTTTACATAATGCCTCTTTAGGGCTAAAATTTAATTTGGCTTTAAAAACATTTTTTAATGTTTGTTTATTTTTGAGGGGGGGGGCAGAGCACGAGCGGGGGAAGGGCAGCGAGAGAGGGAGACACAGAATCTGAAGTAGGCTCCAGGCCCTGAGCTGTCAGCACAGAGCCCGATGCAGGCTCGAACCCAAAAACCATGAGATCATGACCTGAGCTGAAGTCAGATGCTTAACCGACTGAGCCACCCAGGCACCTCAAATTTGGCTTTTAATTATATCCAAAAGAGTAAACCTCAACATCCATTTTAAAAAAGCATTTCATTTCTTAGGTACTGCCACTAATGGATTTTAGCAATGCTTTACCTTATTTTTCCTTTTATACCAAATGTCTTTTGAATATGGCCATTATTGTTTGTGAGTCAGTAGAATACAGCTTCAAATAAGACAGCTAAAAATAATGCATTCATTTTGTATCACTCAGAGAAGAAAACTTTTTCACAAATATGGCATAAACATAACAAGCATTTTTTCTGAGGTGGACACAAGAATGATATTTATTAACAAAGGGAAATAATGACTAGTACGTGGCCTGGAAGTACACGTGCGAGTATGATCAACACAATCCTTCCCCGCAAACAAATATCTGTGAGAAGCTTCTTCACAGTTAGAAACCATGGAAAAAATACAATGATATCAGGAAATAAATTTGCATCCTCGGTCTGTTCTTTCCATAATAAGCATTTTAAATTCTAGTAGAAAGATGTTTTGGAATGGGTGAATATCCCCCCGCCCCCCACCGAATATAGTTCAAGCACCTGAAAAGGTTTAGTGAAATACTACATTACTGGTTAATAGCACAAGCATATAGGCTTTAAAACGTTAAAAAAAGAAAGAGAAATGAATAGAGCAGAACGTCCATGTTATAAATGCCAAGAAATGCCACCTTGGAAGTTGCACATTATGCTACAGGGAAGAGCAGTCTGATGTAGTTCCTTTGAAAGACTACAAGCTTTATTTAAATTGGGTGTGGTGGTACTGAGGGAGAAAACGAGAAATAAAAGGAACCGACCAAAAAAAGTGTGGGGAGGGGGTGTGGGGAAAATGAGAAAGGGTGGAACAAAACCCACACCACGTCCCCTCCGCCGTGTGGGACCGACGAAGCCAGAAGGACAGGCTGGCGTGAGATCCTACGGCCCAGCTCTCCAGCCTGTGCTTGGATTCCAGACGGTGACTACCTCCTACCTTTTTGGTCAGCAGGGTGAGGGGGCACATGTGGGTACTTGGAGGGCTTCTTGATATGGAAGTTCACGTTGTCCAGCTCCACGTTCAGGCTGATGGACGCGGCTGAGTCACTGTCCACTGTGGACTGGAAACTGCTGACTGATGTGCGCTTGCTAGGACTGGCAGAATCTTTTAGTGTTGGGGAGGGGAAAGAAATATAGGGAGAGGAGGGGAGTAAAAACGGGTTTCATCAGGGTATTGGAGGAAAGGAGAAAAATGTTTTTTTAATATACAAGCCCAATGTGCAATACCAAAATGGATACAGTATTTTCACGTACTTCTGTGTAGCCTTAATAAAATTTGAACATATTAAATATAAAATGAATTTTTTAAATGGAGAAATATATTGGAGGTTCTGCAGAGAGAAAGTCTGATATCATAGTGAAGAGGTGAGAAAGTTGTCTGCTGCGATATTATTAGCTCAGAGTTATTTTTAAGCTGCTGCAAACTAGAGACTATGGCAAAATCTGAAAACGCCAGTAGCCTAACAAGTTGGTTTCTTAAGAAAATACTGTATCTAGAACAAGGATTGCTATCAGATGTTTACATTTAGTTGGAGCCAAAATACTTAAAGTAGGATTCTTTCAACTAAACAAACAAAACATTCATTTTCTCAGACATACACAGTAATGAGTCATAAAAATTAAAATGTTAGAAAGTTTAAACTCACTAGTCAAATTATCGTCACCTTCTTCAGCTATCTGTTCCGTGTCACTGTCATCAAACTTTATGTCTTTAAACCACGATGGCTCAGAGTGTCCTTCCACAGAGTTCACGGAGTCACTGTCTGGAGAAGGGGTCTCGGAAAATTCTGTACTCTGGAAAGATCAAGACAAAAGCCAAGTCATTCACTTTCAACGGCAACAGTGTGAGGCTGTCACACTACAAATAAACGCTAGCCCAATACTTCCACAAAGCTAACCACTAAAGAGATTTACATAAAAATAAGCTAATTAATACAAACTAAGTTGCAAACCAACATTATGCTGACAATTCCACTCTTAAAATTATAATTCTCATTAATCAGTAGATTTAGGCAGCACACTATGAGCAGAACATAATATACAGATTTTACGGTGTTTCATTTCATCCTTTTTAGTCCTGAGAGTGAACATGGCTTAGAATTTATTCTAATCCTATGTCAATGCTAGGACATATTCTGGAAAGCAACTGTTAAATTTTAACAAATAATACCATACCTTTGTCTTTTCTGACCTTTGAGTTTCCACTTTTAGCTCACAAAGGTACGACTAAACATTATACACAACAAATTAACATAAACCAAAAGTGAAAGCTTATCTGCTTAAAAAGTTCTATTTTAAATAATTTCCACTTCCCTAATTAAAAGACATATACACACCCATCATTTTACCATTGCTATACAATACTGCTAATGCATCAAAATCTACTGCATGGGTGATACTAAATTTTTTCAATCATTTAATTACATATACTCTCTCTTAGTCCTGAAACCACAGGCACAGTAAAACTGAAAACCATTAAAGGTAAATAACAGGCAACGATAATACAGGGTCAAGCTTAAGAAAAGCCATACCAATTGAAAAGTGTCTCATTCCAATTGGTTTTTCATACCACTGCTACCAAGTAAACCTGTGTTTAACTTTCAAACAACAGAGAAAACATGTTAGGAAAATGTATCTGTGAGTAATTCAACTACTTTTTATTCCCACTGATCAAGAAAGACTTCCCAAGCGAGCTATGTGCTCACTGGCGGACACGGAAAACTACCTGCAATGGCCGGTACAGCGCATACTCATCCCTGAAAAGCTGGTCGTGATGACTGACACAGTCCAGCCAACGTCCATCGACCATGGCTTGTCCGATTGCTATAGCTTGTGCCCTGAATTAAGACCAAAAAATTAAAACTTTTAAAAGTTAGGATAATTTCACAGGCACAAGATGAGACACAAGATGAATTTTCTTTCCATTCTAATCATTTGAAATTTCAGATGGTCCATGGAGAGGTGAGGGGTAAAAGAAGCAAGACCTGGAGCTATATTAAAAGATTTTTCCAGATACCAGAATAAAGGAGAACCTGCTGATAAGGCAGTCCTACCAAAAACTAATTTTATTTACAACAAACACGTATGAAGTGCTCAAGTGCTCAGTGCGAGCATACCTCTGTACTTACTAGAATAAAAAAAAAAAAGGATAACATGGTTCCTGCCCTCAAGGAGCTTACAGTCTTGATGAGATGACAATACCACGTATTACAGACATAGGTATGAAATATATATACATAAATGCATGAAATAGACACATTTTATTTATACGGCATTTCACAATTTATAAATCTCTTTAGCCCATATTATGAAATAATATCCTCAGGGCTTCTTCACAGGACCATATATTTTCCTCACATTGGAATTGAGAGCTCTAAGTCTCAGAGAGATTAAATAAACTGAGTAAAAGCACAAAACTAAGAGAAATACAGGCACAACTGGAACCCAGGGCTTCACTGCTAACCCTTTTACTCTCTCTTCCTACATACTTGTTTCTTCCCAGGAAAGGAGCAACAGCTAATCTAATCAAGTAGAACAGCTTAGGGATGTGATATCTTGAAAGGTAACAGGACCTGTCTCTTCTTCACAAATGAATCATGAGGCGAGCTAGGACACTCCAGGCATGACTTATGGACTCAATTCCCAAGATAGGTTGTAATGTCCAGATTAGGGAACAGTAGCAGGAGAATCCACTGTGCTTTTTAATATCTAGCTACATTCCCCCATCCTGCTTAATCAGAGAGCTTTGTGTTGTGGGAATTACTACAAACTTCTGCTTTTAATAAATAAGGTAAATTGCGACCCCATTTGGCTCCTTGCATCTATTTGCTGCTATCTAAAAGCCAGGAGGGAGAAGGGGTGACTAATTAGCACCCTAAGCACCAAATGCAGAAACAAATAGCACCCTATTCACAAAACACAACATTTGCTCCTCTTACTTATATCTCAATGTTATAGCCTCATAATAAATAAATAAATAAATAAATAAATAAATAAATAAATAAATAAATGTCAAAAAGTCTTTCTTAAGATTACATTACCTTGTAGCAATGTGCCCATTTCGGATCAACCAGTTGACTAATTCTTTTCCCACAATGCAGTTGGGATGCGTTCTCAGCCAGTAACGGTGATCCTGAAACTCCATTCCACTACTGTGATGGCAGATTTTCTTCCACAGGTCCTTTAACTGAACACTGTCCTAAAATCACATTATAAGCAAATAATTACTCCTGAGAAGGATATGACATACCTTTTCAAATTCTCTCCTGTGATTTTTAGACTCATAAAAGGAAATTCAACTTGAATTTGTCAGAGCTAACTCCCTTGATTTAACAGAAATGACATGTGCATGGGGAACAGCTTGAACTCAGCTCATCTAATTTCAAACATAACATTTTCTCTTAAAAGCCACCATTCCTAATCAATTTTTTCAGTCAATGGCGTGTATGATCAGTCCCCTAGTTATCTAAGTACAACACTGCATACTCCTCGCTGGAGACAGGGCAAGGAAGAGGACACAATCATCAGTCACACTAATCTGTTTCTTGTGGCCTTCACTCCACCAGCTTCTCACCATTCTCACCTATACTTAGCTGTCTGGTGAATTTTCCTGAAGAAAGGCCTTCAGTGCATTACTCCCTGCTCAAAAACACTCCCAGCACCTACAGATTCAAAAATAAACTTGTAAAGGCTGAATTCACCCACCATGTTCTACCAGGTGACCCCAAGTAACTTTCATTCTCACTGCCCACAGACTCTAACTTAATCTCTCCCCCCAACCTCACCTAACTAATAAACCCTACTTTGGTCCATGGAAAATGTCATGTTCCTTTTCACCTCTATACTCTGTCACACCTTTAAATAAGATTTATTTTCCTCATTGTCTTACCTAAATCCATTCCATCCTTCAAGGTCCGGGTCAAGCCCTTCAGTTGAAAGCCTTTCCTGACTCCCTCACTACTAAGGACCTTTGTATTTCTTATTATTAAAGTATTACTTGTTTTACTATTTGGGACCTGTCCATCAGCCTCAATTCTACCTTCTGAATTGTAAGCTTGAGAACAGAAGCCATTTTCATTTCTTTAAGTCACTCACAGGATGAAACACGGTTATCTGACACACAGATAAATTCAATAAACAACTGATTATTATCTCATATAAACCTACAATAGTAAATGTACGCAAAGCATTTCATGTGTATGCAAAACATCTTTCAAAGTTTAAAAGCAATCTGGGACCTAACTAAAAGTGGAACTCTTATTATATAGATACCTGAATTCTGATCTTCCCAGATGAAAGGGGTCAAGCAAATATTAATACAAATATATGAGCATGCAATGCTTAACCACTTTCTTAGGTGATTATAATAAAAACTTTATTTCCTCTATTAACTTATATGCTAAGTAGCTTTTTGTAGGTTTCTTAAAAAGAAAAATCAATAAAATAAACAATCTTCATGCTCAAACTAGCAATGGGTCAAAGATACTGGACCAGTACCAGAAGAATTTTGCGTTCATCCTCAGTGGTCTCTGTCCTAACGTATGTCCGGTTAGCCTGGGGACTGACAGATGTCTCATATGAAGACACCATGGGAGAGCCAGATCGATCCAGTGACAGGTTAGTAATGCTGGCTGATCTGGAAATAAAAACAAAAAGTGAAAACACAATTGTAAATTCTTCATCGATCAATTACAGCGAAAATTCATTTTTAAATAAATGCTTACTTGGCAACATTAAGGGTACTTTTAAATGCAGTTATGATGGCTATGTATGATATTATCATTGGGAGAAGCTGACAGAAAAGTTATCTAAAAATTCTCTATACTGTATTTCCAACTTCTATGTTAGTTTAAAACTACTTCAGAATAAGTGTAAAGGAAAGGCACTATGGAAAGATTACAGGAGAGTAATGACAAATGTAGTTCATATATCAGTAATATTTCAAAGAAAACATATACAAATTCTTGTTAAAATGCTGAAAATTCATGTGCGGTTTTTTTGTTTGTTTTTGTTTTTTTAGCTGACAAATATAAAGAATCACAGACTAAATGCAAAAATAATCTTGCAGATCAGCGACAGCAAACTATGGCCTACAGACTAAATAGTTTTTGTTATACCAGATAAACTAAGAGCGTCTTTAGATGAACATCTATAATGTTCTGATAAAATACTAACTTTGAACCCCACTAAGCAAATGTTACCCCCCAAAATAATTCCTTTCTTCTTATTAGACCTGTGTTGTTATCCTCAATTATATTTTGAATTTGATCAATTAAAAAATGAGTGAAAATTTGTTTCCTCTCTTATTATATTCTGACATAATATCCTTAATTTTGTCTCTTGGCAAAGTTACCAGATAAATGATTTGTAAGTGGAATATCAACAGCATCAAGCAAGCTTCTATTTATTAAAAAATTATAGCTAGAAATTTAGTTAGCATCTACTTAGAAAAACTGAACCCAAATTTTAGCTTCTATGTAAAGGATAAAAAGGCAGGAGCATCTACAGTAAGATAGATACTATATGACTCATTTAATCTGCACAGGCACACTATGGAGTAGGTACTAGTAAATCCATTCTACATATAAAGAAATCAAGAATCAGAGATTAAGTAATTTAAGAGAACTCAGCTAATAACAAGGCTGCCATTCAAAACCAGGTGTTAACTGAAAAACTGCTCTCCCCAGGTCAAAGATAAAGATCCTTTTAAAATAACTTAAGGGGTGGAACGCCTGGGTGGCTCAGTTGGTTAAGCTCCAACTTCTGCTCAGTTCATGATCTCAGGATCCATGGGTTTGAGCCCTGCATTGGGCTCTCTGCTGTGAGCATAGAGCCCGCTTCAGATCCTCTAATTCCTTCTCTCATTGCCCTTTCCCCGCTCATGCTCTCTCTCTCTCTCCCTCTCTCAAAAATAAACATTAAAAAAAAAATTCTTTTTTAAGTTTTTTAAAACAGACTCTCCAGTAGCTTCCCATTTCACCCAGAGTAAATGACAAAGTCCTTACACTTAACTGTAAGAACACTGTAGTCCAGGTACACGGGACCTCTTGTTACCCTTTGCCAGGTGTGCTCCTTCTAGGAATTTGTCGTTTCCTGTTTTTGCGGTACATTCTTCTACATGGTGAACATTCCACATGGTTCATTCCCTCACATCCTTGAGTTTTTGCTCAAATGTCACCTTCTCAGTGAGGTCTTCCCTGACCTCACTATTTAACATCTCAACCTCTACCCCTATGCTTTATTGCTTATTTGTGTTTTCAATTTTTGTGTTTGACTCTCTGCTGTATTCCACTATCTAGTTTATGGGTACTTAATGATACTTGTCGAAAGAACAAATTGAAAGTATGTTAAACCATAGTCATTCAGATGTCTAGTTCTCCAGGTTTATAACTACTTAGTCAACACTTAAGCTTGTAAAAAAGAAAGCATTTTCAGTGAAAAGGTGTGAACATTAGTAAGATCTAGTAAGGTGAAAACTGAGGAGGAAGTTTGCAGGTATAGAACGACTACAGGCAACTATTTCAAGGACTTTGGCTAAGAAGAAAGGAAATAATTGAGAATATAGGCCCTAGAGATGAACCATAAAGGAGAAATTTTTGTTTGTTTTTAACAGGTGACCTGAGTTTGTTTAAATGCTAACAGTAAGAAGTCAGCAAAATGACTATTAATGTACAAACATCAATAGGATAATTAATAAAAAATGAGCAGGGATGGGATCCAGAATACAAATGGAGAATTAGCTTGGTCAAGAGGTAGAAAAGAAAAAAAAAAAAAAAAAAATT